GTCTCATATTCTTCTTCCAAATTGGGCGCATAAACCTGTACCAAGGTCATCGATTTAGCCTGTTGTAGCGTCAGTCAGGGGATCACCACCATTGCGCTGACAGGCTTCCAATCCATAATTCTATCCGCAAAGTTGGGTTTTCCCAGAACGCCAACGCCGGCCTCAGCGCGAATCGACGCTTGAGTAGAACTGCTTCCATCCATTGAAGTTTAGGAGTCCAGAGCCTGGCCGTTTTGTTGACGAGAGTTCAACAATGTCGAGTTGGTACTTCATGGCCTCATCAACTAATTCTTGTTCTTTTTCTCTGAGTGAGGATATGTTCCAATTTCCGACTTTAACCTCCCACTGGTGGTGTCGTTCTCGTGGAGCCTTTTCTGACGTGCTATTATGGCATCGCGCCGTCTGCTTCCTCCGTTCAGAACGGGTACCGACTCCGTTGCCGATTGGTATTTTCGTCGTCGTTCCGTCAGTCTTCGTCTTCCGTTATTGTGCTGCTACGCCCTCGGCTAGCAGAGGGCAGTAAGCAGGTTGTGATCGCCGACTTCGCAGTCTTCCTCAGTCCTCCAAGAGCCTGCGCGGCCCTTGGTAACCCGGTTGGCGACCTAGCCGGTATGATTTTCGATGGCGTCAATGCCTTGAGTGGCAGGTGGCTAAATTTTACGGAGACCGGAGACTTACCACGGTCTCCAACCCTCCTCCTTTCTCATCCGGGCTTGGTAGCGGCAGCGCCGGAGTTCAGTATGAAGAGTTGAATTTCAGTCTTTTTAATATCAGTGTATGCATAAATCAGATATAATGGAAATGGAGATTAGTTCCTTCTATTTAACACCTCATCGAATAGTTGTTACTAGCCTCATGCAAACATTCGACCTAGCGCCAAGCATTGAAAATGAACCATTCACTAAAAGCTCGTATTTGAATGATTCTGAAGCTCCGGGTCATCCAGTCACGGCGCGGAAAGTGTTTGCTACGTCATAGTAAATGGCGTGAATAGAGACCTTTCACAGTTGGTACTTATTTTCGCTGAGGTTGCACTCTATTGTGCTCCTGTTTCTGATGTACGTGGATCGAATAGTCTGGCGCAGCGAAGACGATGAGTATTAAGTGTAAAGTGTACCCGTGTAAATTTCGAGACGATAAGCTTGCCGTTTGCCTACAGCTTTGTTTTCTTGTCATTTTCTGAGACTGATCTGCTGCGCCCTCTTGAAAGGTTCGTAGCCCGGTACGAGGTGGTATGAATGTTAACGTTTCTGAAGCCAACCCCTATTGCTTTCTCTTTCTGTCCCTTACTCTCTTCAGATAAACAGGGAAGCAGTGCAACAGGTGGATAAATTCAAGTTGTTCGGAGTCGTGTTTACTTTTGATAGAAAATGGGAGGAAGAAATCGACTTTTTGATCGGTTTTGCCAGTGACTTCTGCGTGAACTTGCTCGAGCCGTTGTGACTAAAGCAGGGTTGACTAAGCTCTCGATGTTCAAGTCGATTTTCATCCCGTGCTCACCTACAGTCATGAATCATTGACTCTGAGTGAAAAACTTTGATCCCAGTTACAAGCAGCTAAAATGGACTTTCTGAGATGAGCCGCTCTCCTTATCTCTCTCGGCATGGTCCGGAGTAAAGAAATCTGGGTAAGTCTTGGTGCGCTGTCGCTGCTTCTTTTGATCGAGAAGACCGAGCCTCGATGGTTTTTGTTCATTTTTGAATGCTTCTTGAAAGGAATGCAAAGCAGCTGCTACTTCACCAATATTATCATCGGAACACCTGGAGGATGACCAGGATTAACCTGGTTTAAGTGTTATGAAGGAGTCTTCTCTCGACTTTTGTTTTTTCTCTGCCGAAGGTCAGATGCTGGCACATAATCAGGAGTGTTGTACTCCCTATTTATCGTGCCTGCCTCCGCTACCCGGAAGAGGAAGCTGTCTTTTATGGTTTAAAATAGACAAAAAGCAGTAGCATTCTCTTCTTGTTGTGCCGTCGGAAGTGTTTAATGCCAACCTTTCTGCCAAATGACATTCCTGGAAATATCAACGGTAACTGAATTACATGCCTAACCATCCGTTGTAGGTTGTACGTCTGACCGTCGATCTCTACTCATTTTGAACGATAAGACATGAAAATGCGAGTTTTTGAGTTACGTTGAACCTTTCTAACCTGCCACTGCATGATGCATCAAACGTCGTATCGTGATTAAGGCTCAGATCTTTATATTCATTCGGTTAGTTCTTGTGACTGAAGAGAGCTGTGAAATCCGCTGCATGACAAATGACCCAAAATAATGACTAAACCATGATTCCTTGGTATGAAACGTCAAAATTTTTTTAACCTGGCTTTAATCTGAATAAGCTTTTTTAGGTTGAAGCGGAATGTGTATGTAGAAATGGAGTGTTTTTTTGACTTTTGTTTTGCTTTGAGATTACTTCAGGTTTAACCTCGCCAGTGAATATATTTCCGTATTTTTTAGCATATTTGACCATTTCCACATTGTTTAATCGATAGATTCCCCACTGTTTCGCAGATGAACTACGCGTCAGACGATTATTTCACTATCGATATCTTCAGTTCTTGGACACATCGTGTTGCTGTCTTCGTGAGACAATTGAATCTGAAATTACTCCTCTTCTTTTCTCTTCAGAGGAGCTCGTACCATTTGCTGTACAAGAAAGTGTAAATGAAATAAAAACGAAACCCCGAACCATGTCTTTGAACACAATTTTAATTTCAATGAATTGGTGCTTTATGATATGAGGAAGTTATTTGTGTGCTCATTATGAAACGTACTTGTTGCAAATGTGCATTTCAGTGACCGTGAATATGGCGGAAGATCCACCTGTTGTTTCTGCAGTTGCGATGGCAATTCTTGATAAGTCAAGTGACGAAGTAACGTTTTGAATATCGATTAATAATCAGTTTAAAACATTTTTATAAGTATGAATAAATGCTGTTTTCCTATTTATCAGCTCCTAGACCACTGCTTCCAAGCAGGATTCAGAAGTAAATTTAGTATGATGGATCGTTTTCAGTTGGTACAATATGTAATTCGGAGGTAATGGATATCAGCTTCATGCCTATCTGGAGTTAATAAATTTTGATAAAACTTTCGATTCAATATATGGCTGGTCATTATTCGATGCCTTGAGGAATCATGTAATCGAGAAGAAT